GTTACTGCTGAATACACGCTAGGCTACAAGACTGTGGCAGTTACTGCTGAATACACGCTAGGCTACAAGACTGTGGCAGTTACTACTGGACACATACTAGGCTACAAGACTGTGGCAGTTACTGCTGGACACATGCTAGGCTACAAGACTGGCAGTTACTGCTGGACACATGCTAGGCTACAAGTCTGTGGCAGTTACTGCTGGACACATGCTAGACAACAAGACTGTGGCAGTTGCTGCTGGACACATGCTAGGCTACAAGACTGTGGCAGTTGCTGCTGCACACATGCTAGGCTACAAGACTGTGGCAGTCACTGCTGGACATGCTAGGCTACAAGACTGTGGCAGTTACTGCTGGACACATGCTATGCTACAAGACTGCGGCAGTTACTGCTGGACACATGCTAGGCTACAAGACTGCGGCAGTTACTGCTGGACACATGCTAGGCTACAAGACTGCGGCAGTTACTGCTGGACACATGCTAGTCTACAAGACTGTGGCAGTTACTGCTGGACACATGCTAGGCTACAAGACTGTGGCAGTTACTGCTGGACACATGCTAGTCTACAAGACTGTGGCAGTTACTGCTGGGCACATGCTTGTCTACCAGACTGTGGCAGTTACTGCTGGACACATGCTAGGCTATAAGACTGTGGCAGTTACTACTGGACACACGCTAGGCTACAAGACTGTGGCAGTTACTGCTGGACACATGCTAGGCTACAAGACTGTGGCAGTCACTGCTGGACACATGCTAGGCTATAAGGCTTTGGCAGTTACTACTGGACAAATGCTAGGCTACAAGACTGTGGCAGTTACTGCTGGACACATGCTAGGCTACAAGACTGTGGTAGTTACTACTGGACACATGCTAGGCTACAAGAGTGTGGCAGTTACTGCTGGACACATGCTAGTCTACAAGACTGTGGCAGTTACTGCTGGACACATGCTAGGCTACAAGACTGTGGCAGTTACTACTGGACACATGCTAGGCTACAAGAGTGTGGCAGTTACTGCTGGACACATGCTAGGCTACAAGACTGTGGCAGTTACTGCTGGACACATGCTAGGCTACAAGACTGTGGCAGTTACTGCTGGACACATGCTAGGCTATGAGACTGTGGCAGTTACTGCTGGACACATGCTAGGCTATAAGACTGTGGCAGTTACTACTGAACACATGCTAGGCTACATGAGTGTGGCAGTTACTGCTGGACACATGCTAGTCTATAAGACTGTGGCAGTTACTGCTGGACACATGCTAGGCTACAAGACTGTGGCAGTTACTGCTGGACACATGCTAGGCTATAAGACTGTGGCAGTTACTGCTGGACACATGCTTGTCTATAAGACTGTGGCAGTTACTGCTGGACACATGCTAGGCTATAAGACTGTGGCAGTTACTACTGGACACATGCTAGGCTACAAGAGTGTGGCAGTTACTGCTGGACACATGCTAGTCTACAAGACTGTGGCAGTTACTGCTGGACACATGCTAGGCTACAAGACTGTGGCAGTTACTGCTGGACACATGCTAGGCTACAAGACTGTGGCAGTTACTGCTGGACACATGCTAGGCTATGAGACTGTGGCAGTTACTACTGGACACATGCTAGGCTACAAGAGTGTGGCAGTTACTGCTGGACACATGCTAGTCTACAAGACTGTGGCAGTTACTGCTGGACACATGCTAGGCTACAAGACTGTGGCAGTTACTGCTGGACACATGCTAGGCTACAAGACTGTGGCAGTTACTGCTGGACACATGCTAGGCTATGAGACTGTGGCAGTTACTGCTGGACACATGCTAGGCTACAAGACTGTGGCAGTTACTGCTGGACAACAGCTTGGCTACAAGACTGTGGTAGTTAAGGTTGTATAGAGATGAAAAATATGTGAAATGTAAAGTGTGTGAACAGACAGTGGCCAAACTCTGGAGCATATTTGTGTGGTCCCTGAATAATAATTTAAAATAATTAATAATAATTTTAGCATATCAGCCTTGTCCCACCAAGCAAAGGCGACCTAAAAAATAAGGAAAGCATTCACCATCATTCAGTTAGTTGCTATCTTGCCAGAAGTAGACAGACATAGCCACTCAGATGACCCTCCGACCTACAACCTCCTCCTCATTCCTCTAGGGTAAGAAGCACTATTCTTCCCACCTCCAGGACAGTCCAGTTAACCCATCTCCCAGAATTATTTCATAAACTAGATGCATTTCGATTGTTACACAATTCTAGAACGGTATCTCCGTATTCCACAAGCCTAGCCTCCTCTACGTAAGTGCATGCAAAAGAAATATTTGAGGGTAATCATAAAATTGCAATGCAGGAAAATATAAATATGTATACTTGTTTGTGCATATAAATTTTTATACAGACAACGCCTCAAACTGATCAAAATCGTCGAAATATGTTATAAAATAACACTGTAGCATATTTTTAATATACGTGCGTTTTAATATGCTTCCATTTCTTATCTGCATGTAATTGTATACTTATTAATGCATATGTATATTTACATATGTAAATATTTTGTATTTATACGTGTGCGGATGTACAACTTTCTGTTTGCAGTTACATTTGCTATAAAATTCTCTACAATCCTGCAATTAAAAATATTTTGTGCTTTTTGAATATAGTCCAATACGATCAGAAATATTCATTGGACTGACAAATTTGCCCACACACAAACCAAGCTAAATGGACACTATCCTGGCTACAAGATCCATCGGCCATTTCATACCGACGTCATTCAGAAGAGGGAAACACACATTTTGATTCTGATGGTTAAACGGGAACCAAAATTTTACAATGTTCATGAAATGGTCGGATCTGCACCTACACACTTTAGTTTCACTCTGCGACGTCGCTGAATAGGAGACAAATTTTTTGGGGAGGTCTGAAGCTCCATCACTGAGGGTTTTGGAACTCACTCGAGGCATTCCAGGATGTTGGAAATGGGATTAATAAGTTAAGTCCTAGGGCACTTACACAAGACTTCGAAATCTGAATCCGACTGATGAGGTATTCTCGAGTTATGAGTGGAAGAAAATCGAAAAGTTGGAATAAAAAATAAAAAAATCATACAACTTTATAAGGCATCCCTCCAGGGGATACTTAGTTATACCTCGCTCGCACTCCAACAACACATCAAATTCATAAAATCTCACACACACACACACATATGTTAGGAAACGGGATACACACGCACACACTTCTGCATGTGTTACAAAAATTAGGTAATTCTAACCATTGAGAATCATTAATCTTGTCTGGGGTCATACTGTGAAATGAGAGATAATTAGGTTTGATCCAGTGAAGGGAAGATACGCTCTAGTTTCATTGATGAAGAGCTACTACTGCCCTGACATCAGGCAACAACGCCACCGAAAGATAATATTTGATAATTACTCTCTCGGAACCAAGAGCTGCGCGCCTGCTGTATGCTTAAGCGTCTACCACATAAAACCTTCACAACCTACCCGCAAGTTTTCCACACTGCATGTTCTTAACCTTACTGGTCATCCTCTTCAGTCCCATCCTCTCTAAATGTCAAAAGTAACTCCCTCCTTTCCTCTGCGCTCTAAATAAAAACCTCTCATAACATCACATAGCCTTCAAATTTGTACAAATTTGTATACGCCACACATCGCTTGTCCATGTGACATCTGCACTGCGTCTAGCCTCTTCACTGTAGCGTTCAAAACCCATGCCTCACACCCATATAAAAGGGTTTATAAGATTATGTTCTGTAGCAATCCTCATTTTTGCGTCTATGAAGTTTCCACGGATGCTACAACACTTCACCCTACCATCTGATGTTTCGCTCATCTCGTCTCTCATATATAGACCCATCTGCCGACACGTCTACTCCCGAATATCCATATATATTCACTTTTCTATACTTCCTCCATCCATTCTGATATTTAATAATAATGCAATTATCATTAATAAATAATTATATAGTCATTAAATCTAACAATAAAGTTTCTGACTCTAGTCCGACTTGCTATAATGTTTACATGATATGGTATGATTATTATATATATTTTTTTATGCACGATTCATTATCTTTCAGCTTGAAAAAGCGATGCCTTACGGTACCTTGAATGACATTATTTAAAGTATTTTTTATTGTTTGGCCATCTATGAATTACGAGTTAGAAATAATCGGATCAACCTGGAGGAAATCCAGTGTGTGTGTCATGGTGTGAAATAGAGTAATTTCTTCAAACCCAGCAGTGAATTTATGGTTGAGGTTAGACTAAGCAGAAACTTACTAAAAACTTTATTCTTATATCATGAGATTATAGCTGTCTCTATGGCCGGGGTCGTTATGCTCTAGTGTCGTCTGGGAGGTCAGAGGGACCAGCCCCTTGTGGAGGACCAAGCCTCTAGCGTTTCTCTCTCTCTCTCTCTCTCTCTCTCCACACACACACACACACAGGATATAAAAATAGGATGTCCACATATTTTTGCCATTTTTCATTAGGAAAAGAATTTTTCATAACAAGGTGCCTTAATTAACATAAAATTCATATAAGATTGCTAATAACTGGTGGGAGGATTTCCCATTGCCATACCAAACATTTAGATAAAAAAAAGTAATGAAGCACAAATTTTGCATCGATTAAGCCAAATTTAATAATTTAATTATTGCATGCAGTAGTTAAAATTGGCTGGTTCTTTAGAGAGAAATTTTCAGAAGTTGGCAACTGGGAACTTTGAAAATAATGGTGAAGCACCAGTGCTCATCTACAGAGAAGTTTATGAGGTGGCTCTGTGGAGAGGTGCACAAGGTGGCTCTATGGATAAGTTGTGATATTACACTAACCAACAGCAGTATAAGGTAGTGTATGAGGTGTGTCTATGAAGGGTAACAGTGTAACCTACGAAAAATACACAAGGCTCCGTAGAGGAGTGTTAAAGTGACTCTTGCTAACAGAAGAGAGATGAACGAGGTGACGCCTGAGTGTCGAAAATGTGACACTTACCAACAACAGAGAGGTGTATGAGGTGACTTTGTGGAGGAGTGGTGGAGATCTGGCACTCGTACATCCCAGCGTCCCTGTCCTGCAGATAGTGGATCATGAGGAGCCAGTCGTCAGAACTTGCAGAGTGACGCGCTGAGAACCTCTCGTCGGAGGTGTAAGTGAAACGGCCCACCGTCAGCAGATGGATATCCCGGTGCCTGATCCATGACACCTGAAGAAGGAAGCAAGTGGTGAGAGAGAAAGTTTAACTTAATACAAACAAAAATTCTTTGAACTATATTTTGGGGTAATAAAATCAACTAGCAATTAGACAGAAATGGCTGAGACACTAGAAAACACGAATTAAAGAGGATATCAGACGCCAGTAAGAAGAGGAAGAAGAAAATGAGCAGGAGGAGGAGAAAGTAAAGGAGAGAGAGAGAGAGAGAGATGAGGAATATAACGAGAGGCTATAAAAGCAGAGATGTAAAGGAAATTTTAGGACCTCTCTGCCCCAAAAAACTTTATTTGTAATAACCTTGAGAGAGGGAGAGAGAGGAACGTAATTTCAACTATTTTCAGTCCAGTTTTTATCTTTTTATGCCCCGTCAGCGTGATGGAAATGAAAATGCCAGAGCGTTTCCCTTTTCTGTCTTGAGAACGGGTAAGTAACTGAGAGTGATACCAGAGTAGTTACTGTGTTACACTAGTGGACGACCAGGAAGTGACGATGATGCTAGTACTGGGGTAGTTACTGTTACACTAGTGGACGACCAGGAAGTGACAATGCTAGTACTGGGGTAGTTACTGTGCTACACTAGTGGACGACCAAGAAGTGACATTGATGCTAGTACTGGGGTAGTTACTGTGTTACACTAGTGGACGACCAGGAAGTGACATTGATGCTAGTACTGGGGTAGTTGCTGTGTTATACTAGTGGACGACCAGGAAGTGACGATGTTAGTACTGGGGTAGTTACTGTGTTACACTAGTGGACGACCAGGAAGTGACGATGTTAGTACTGGGGTAGTTACTGTGTTACACTAGTGGACGACCAGGAAGTGACGATGTTAGTACTGGGGTAGTTACTGTGTTACACTAGTGGACGACCAGGAAGTGACGATGTTAGTACTGGGGAAGTTACTGTGTTACACTAGTGGACGACCAGGAAGTGACAGTGATGCTAGTACTGGGGTAGTTACTGTGCTACATTAGTGGACGACCAGGAAGTGACAATGCTAGTACTGGGGTAGTTACTGTGCTACACTAGTGGACGACCAGGAAGTGACAATGCTAGTACTGGGGTAGTTACTGTGCTACACTAGTGGACGACCAGGAAGTGACAATGCTAGTACTGGGGTAGTTACTGTGCTACACTAGTGGACGACCAGGAAGTGACAATGCTAGTACTGGGGTAGTTACTGTGCTACACTAGTGGACGACCAAGAAGTGACATTGATGCTAGTACTGGGGTAGTTACTGTGTTACACTAGTGGACGACCAGGAAGTGACATTGATGCTAGTACTGGGGTAGTTGCTGTGTTATACTAGTGGACGACCAGGAAGTGACGATGTTAGTACTGGGGTAGGTACTGTTACACTAGTGGACGACCAGGAAGTGACGATGTTAGTACTGGGGTAGTAACTGTGTTACACTAGTGGACGACCAGGAAGTGATGATGTTAGTACTGGGGTAGTTACTGTGCTACACTAGTGGACGACCAGGAAGTGACAATGCTAGTACTGGGGTAGTTACTGTGCTACACTAGTGGACGACCAGGAAGTGACAATGCTAGTACTGGGGTAGTTACTGTGCTACACTAGTGGACGACCAGGAAGTGACAATGCTAGTACTGGGGTAGTTACTGTGCTACACTAGTGGACGACCAAGAAGTGACATTGATGCTAGTACTGGGGTAGTTACTGTGTTACACTAGTGGACGACCAGCAAGTGACATTGGTGCTAGTACTGGGGTAGTTGCTGTGTTATACTAGTGGACGACCAGGAAGTGACAGTGATGCTAGTACTGGGGTAGTTACTGTGCTACACTATTGGACGACCAGGAAGTGACAGTGATGCTGATGTTCCACTAGTGATATGTTATCTTCAGTTTTTAAGAATGTTTTGTTAATCTTCAAAACTCAACTCTGACTCACTTTTCATGAGTTATTTTATAGGCATTAATAGGCTCAGTCTGTCAACACGTCAAATACCAAAGACCCATCTTCAGTGTTTTCTTCTAGCACGCTCACATGAACATGCTGCCTGCTCAAGCTCTCACAGTTACCCCTTCACTGACAACTAAATGGTTATAAGTGATAATTTTTAAAGAGGTAGAGCGGTAAGCCAGCGGAAGGCCTTGGTCAGATGACCAAAAGCTCCAACGGCGGGTCATCAACTAAGACCCGCATTAGGAAACATTTGTCCAGTTTCCTGATGAACCTTACCTAACCCAACGCCCTTCAGTGAGCTTCATTCATCTTAATTATTAACACCTTCGTCATCTACCTTCCTCAATTCTGTCTATCTGGACGAGCCATCTAACACTATTTGAATTACACTTTTCCTAACCCACACTGTCTCATAATTTTGTGATTCGCATATTAATGCCAGCCTCGGCATTTCCAGTGCCTGGATGCACTGGAAATGCCGTGGCAACATTAAGATACAATGTTTCGCAAACATACAAAAACGTCGGCACCACTTGACTCAGACGTCTCACTCGTTTTGTATTCACCAACAAACTTGAAAGTTTTCCAAAGATTTTTCAGCAGTAACGCAACTTCCTTTCTTTCACGTATTTAGGTATTTACATCCATTTCCATGTAATTCAATTTATTAATTTCATCCAGGTTCTATACTACAATCCCTAGTCCGTTACTAATTTCAATAACATTGCTGTTCTCAATATAAACTTGCTTCGTTTTTCCACATTATTATAAGCTCTCCCACCAGCCTCACTCTCCTTGTGCTGGAGGACTAACATGGGTGGGTATATCCTTCATGGCTAAGCGAATAGAACTTCCCACCACTGCAGTCTTACAGTGCCACTCTAGTATTCTTGTTTTATTCAACCTTTTCTCCTGTACCACTAACATCAGATTCACTCCTCATACATTGCGTTATACAACTTTTTCTTCTACACTAGTAAGCTGAATTACACCCATCATAAAAATAAATTTCCTCATGTCACCTACTTGCCACCGATTTCACAAACTTGGAAAAAGGAAAAATCCGATGACATTCTTTATCCCTCTTGTACTGCTTTTCCTAATCCACATATGCCTGCTCTTTAATACTAATATCTGATCAACCAGTCACTTGGCAGCACCTCAATGCCTGCCTAAAAGCATGCAGACATGGTCAAGAGGTTTTTATTCAGACCGAACATCAGAATGGGTAAGATATGTGATCTAAGTGACTTCGACCCTGGAATAATTGTTGACGCCAGACGGGGTGGTTTGACTCCCTCAAACTGTTGATCTCTCTTGGGTTTTCACGCAAAACAGTTTCTAGAGTTTACAGAGAATGTGTGAAAAATACAAAACTTGAAGTGAGCGGCAATTCTGTAGGCCAATACGCCTTAATAATGAGAGATGTCAGATGATAACGGCCACAGTGGTTCAAGCGGACTGGAAAATGACAGTAGTTCAAATAACCACGCGTTACAACATTGGTATGCAGAAGAGCATCTGTGAATGCAAAACATGTCGAACCTTAAAGTGGATAGGTTACAACAGCAGAAGACCACATCGAGTTCAACTTGTGTCAGCTAAGAGCAGGAAACCAAGGTTAACCTGGGCAATCTCGCCAACATTAACAGTTGAAGATTGGAAAAACGTCGCCTGGATCGACGAATTGTGATTTCTGCTACGACATGCAGATGATAGGGTCAGAATTCGGAAAAAAACTTTGGGATGTCGTGGAACGGGAGATTCACAGTATGGATGTGACCGAGAAATCTGCAGCAACTGCGTGATATTATGTCAACATGGGCCATGATCTCTGTGCAATGTTTCCAACGCCATGAAGAATGTATGTTGTTCTGGAGGTAGAAAGGGGCCATACCCAGCACTAATAGGGTATATATATACATTATATATATATATATATATATATATATATATATATATATTCTTTTAACACACCGGCCGTATCCCACCGAGGCGGGGTGGCCCAAAAGGAAAAACGAAAGTTTCTCCTTTTACATTGAGTAATATATACAGGAGAAGGGGTTACTAACCCCTTGCTCCCGGCATTTTAGTCGCCTCTTACAACACGCATGGCTTACGGAGGAAGAATTCTGTTCCACTTCCCCATGGAGGTAAGAGGAAATAAACAAGAACTAGAAAGAAAATAGAAGAAAACCCAAAGGGGTGTGTGTATATATATGCTTGTACATGTATGTGTAGTGTGACCTAAGTGTAAGTAGAAGTAGCAAGACGTACCTGAAATCTTGCATGCTTATGAGACAGAAAAAAGGACACAGCAATCCTACCATCATGTAAAAACAATTACAGGCTTTCGTTTTACACTCGGCAGGACGGTAGTACCTCCCTGGGTGGTTACTGTCTACCAACCTACTACCTAGGATTATATATATATATATATATATATATATATATATATATATATATATATATATATATATATATATATATATATATATATATATATATATATATATATATAATACACACACACACACACATGTTCGAGGTCTATGACCTATTTTCCTTGGCTCAGTCCTGATTGCCAGCTTCCCCAGGCGCTGTTTGACTCGTCCTTCTCTACGTGGCAAAGCCTCTCTATAACGTTAGTCTATTTTTTTTAGTTACCTGAGGTTCAGTATTTTTGGCTTTTAGTTAATTCCCTAAGCTCTGGGTTTACTAAAGTTAACGAATTGACCTTGTCTGTATGGTCTTCTTGTCGTTTTTTTCAAAGTTAGGGTTCCAAACAGGTGCTTTATACATAAGAGATGTAAATCATCTTAAAAGAATTTTGTAGGTACCATACGTCCTTATCTTTGTATTTGTCATTATACCACTGTGTTGTGTGGTATTCATAAATCTCCACGTCCAGTCACATGTTTAGTTTGGTATCCACCGATAATATCGAAACGTCCAATATACAGTGTCCTGTCCTATTTGTGATTGTAGTCTCGAGTCACAGCTCATAGTCCGGAGACCGTAATTAGCAAATATTATCCTTCAAGGCTGTTTTTGTTGCTG